AGAAGGTATAAGTATAATATATCGTTGGAAAGCGGAGAATTTAAGAAAAAAACAATATCCAATATAGAAAGTTGTTGAATGTAACAGAGAGTGGCAAACAAATTATAAATAATAATTTATAAACACTAATAATATTTAACGTAAATCACATCTTTTCAATGAAATTAAATGAAATTTACTAACTAAATGTAATCATTTAAAATATTTTTTAAAAAGTATTTAAAATCCACCTAACCAAAGCAACGAAATTGTTAAAAAAATCATTTCATTGTATTTGTTTGAAAGAAGAAACAAAATATAAAATCATTTCATGGATGTATGGAGCAGATGTTTATAACCTTAAGTACATTTACTGTAGTTTAATAATTCTAGATCTAATATTGTGTTTAAATAATCAGGTCTTAACGTCTATTTATTCCTAAATATTGTCATGCAACTTTTTAGAATATTAAATTAGTGGATAATTTGATGAATCTTCCCTTTGTGATAATTCAACAGTATCCAATACTATTTCATTGTACTTGTGTGAAAGAAGAAGTGAAATATAAGAATATTTCATAGATACGTTTGTAACCTTAAATATATTTACTGGAGTTTGATAACTCCAGATCTGAAATATTATATTTAAATATTTAGGTATCTATCGTCCGTTTATAACAAAAGATCATCAAGTCAACTTTTAGAAAATTAAATTGGTGAATGGTTAGATAAAACTTTTTTTTGTGATATTCTAACTTACAATTAGTATGACAACTTTTGACCTGTCTATGACAGACAATGCAAATCTCTTAATTCCACTTTATTAAACTTTGCAAAGGAAAATAACAGTTTAAAAACTAATAATCTTACAATCCATAATCAACCTGTGATATAATAAACAGGACATTTGTTATTTTAATAGAATTTATGATTTGTTAGCTGTAATTTCTTAGATTTAGATGGGTTCAAAATGCAATTAAAACATTTCATAATAACCCAACATTGCTAGAAAATAATTTCTATTTAAAGTTGAGCGGTAAATAGAAGTTGTGTGTTGCGCCCACTAGATTGTTTAGTTTCTGAGATATTTTAATTCATATCTCCCATAAAACTCGTTACCGTTTGGTTTTCGACACTATTTTTTCCGTTTTTCCCTCTCTAACACGGCATTGCGTTAAGATAATTTTTTGAGTAATAGCTAATTACATAGATGAAATGATGAACAACACGCTAACGATATGCAGATCCGAATTTTCGTTGTTAAGCTATTACAATCCATATACAAACAATCTAGCCGCCTTTACCCGAGAGTCTAAAAAACTACAAAACGCTTCTAAATAAGTTTTCTCTTCAGTAATTGATATTAAATTGATACCGGTGAAATTAATCTTAAATTTGATAGAATTAAAAAAAAAATACTCCCATTTCACCGATAACATAACAACAAATCACCAAATTGAATAAATTACTACTTGAAAAGGTACTATTTCCATCCTAATATCAATGAAATCTTAAAAGACCAAACACACGATGCGCAATTGTGCGTTCTGAAGTCGGAGAGTACCTCCGACAACCTAATAGTGGACCCAAATGTCGATTAAATCCGACAATTTACAAAATCGTGAAGCGTAATTGCGCGATCTGAAGTCTCACAATAATTATATACAAAAATGTCTCCAAAAACATAACAGCGGATCCTAATATCACCTATATCCTGAAAGTTCCAAAATGTGATGCGTAATTGCACAATATGAATTCAGACAGTATTTTCATAAAAAAACGCTCCCAACAACTTAATATTCCACCATTATATCGATTAAATCTTTTAAATATTTATCCCTATTTTTAATGAAGAGAAGAATAGTTGGGGTGGTCAGTCAAATAAGAAGGCAAAAATAAATGATAATATTTATTTTGACTGTTGTATGTCTTTATTTAAATAATAATCACTAGAAGATGATTACATGTTTTATTAACAAGCTTACACATGTAGATTCATATAACCTCACCATCTGTTATCTTTACTTACAGTACCACCCTATATACATAACCTTATTTTACATATCTTAACATCTCCCTTCTTGAAGTCACTCTCTCCACCTTGGTGCTCTCACCATCCTCCCTGCTCTGGTGACATAACCGTCAAGCAAAGTTTCATCCTCATCCTCTGGCTGTTCTTCTTCAGTATCTTCTCCTTGTTGCTCTTCTTCATTACCTTCTTCTTGCTGTTCTTCTCCTCCCTCTGCATCTTGCTGCTCTTCTTCTTGGCTACCATTGTACTTTAAAAGAGGTTTAATGTGCTTTCTATTTCTCTCTATGACTCCCCCAACTTTGTCCTTTTGCAAGCAATATCTTGGGCGATCCATCCGATGGGAGATCACTTTGGCTGGAACCCATTCCGAAAACGTACTTGTCTGCACCTGAACTTTTTCTCCTACATGCAAGTCTCTGAGAGGTTTTGTCCCTCTGTCATAATAACCCTGGCTCCTTTTCTGCCTCTCTTGAAGTATCTTCTTTATCTCACTTTCCTTTACCACCTTTGATTGTAAATGACTATTAGTTAGGGGCAAGACTCCTCTCAGGCGTCTACTCATCACTAGTTCAGCAGGGGAGGGCATATCTGCAAATGGTGAATTATTTAATTCGAGCAAGCACAGAAACGGATCAGTTCGAGCTTCTAGTGATTTCTTTACCATCCTTTTAATGGTTTGTATATGACGTTCCACTAATCCATTTGCCTATTGATGCTTTGGGCTGACCATGCTACTTTTGAAATCCCACTGCTTTGCAAATTCAAAAAATGCAGAACTACTAAATTGTCTTGAAAAAATTTGTTTTAGAGATTTGATAAGACAGCCAAGTCAATTTGATAAGCCAGACCCCAAGTCCTCAAGCATAGATACCACACATAATTTAGAATAGTAATCCACAACAATTAAATATTTCAAGCCCTGCAACTCCATGATGTCCAATGCTACCTTTCTCCATGGTCCTTCTGCTACCTCCTGCAACTCCATAGGCTCCATATCTCATATATTTGACATATCTCACAATGTTTTACCATATTTTTAATATCATTTTTCATGTTTGGTCAATAAAGAAGTCCTTTAGCTTTAGCACAACATTTTGTCATCCCTTGGTGAGCATAATGTATTTTCCTTAACATGTCCATCCTTAAGGACTTAGGTACTACTATCTGACATCCTTTAAAGATAATTCCATCACAAAATGTCAGTTCGTCCTTAAGCGACTCATAATCTTCCAAGCTACGGATCTTTAGATTAGGGGGGATCCTTCATCAATCCACCCGCGTCCTGCTTTCAGTTCTTCATCTTTTTCGGTTTCTTTGCGAACAATGTCATATTTTTCATCAGAAATTGGCATGTTCTTAATCAAACCAATGACAAATGCTTCTTTTTCTTCCTCCTGTTTAGATTTTCCAACACTTGCTCTTGACAGGGTATCAGCAACCCACATTTCCTTTCCCGGTTTGTAAATTAATTCAAATTCATATCTTTGTAATTTTAATAACATATTTTGCAACCTAGGAGGGCATAGATGAATAGGATTTTTGTGGATCATTACTAAGGGCTTATGGTCCGATTCGACCTTAAAAGAGTGACCATAAGTACAGCTATACAAACGCTCGTTAGCGTAATGTTAGCGTATCTTTTTTCAGTTTCAGTTAAACTTCTTGAAGCTATGGACGTACACTATACCAGCAGGGACAGGAAGAGTGTAAGCCAAGGGGAGCCTTCAGCTCACAAGATTATAAAATGCAACTATTGTGGGTTCGAACATCCCACAGGAAAATGTCCTGCTTACAGACAGACATGTAGAAGATGTAGAGGGCTTAATCACTTTGCTTCCCAATGTAGAAGGGGTGTAACCAATCCAAGGATGGTTAAACATAATATTCCACCCTTATATCGGTTAAATATATTAAATATTTATCCCTATTTTTAATGAAGAGAAGAATAGTTGGGGTGGTCAGTCACCTAAGAAGGCAAAAATAAATGATAATATTTATTTTGACAATTGCCATATTATATTATACGTTGTCTGTACATTATGATAGACTTTACTATATCTCAATTTCCTATCTAACTATTCTATTTGCAATATCTTAATTTTACTATTTATTTTCATTTCTTACATAACTTCATATTCCTTTTTTTCTGTTTTACATTTTATTCTAAGATTCCCATTTTAATACTTTTGTCACCTTTTTGGATTATGTTTCCTTCATCATTCCACACTTTGTAACGCTTATTATTATTTATCTCTTACTTCTTACAATTGTCATTATTCTACCAACTTCATTTTACTTCAATTTGTTTTACCTACATTACTCATGTTTCTCATACCTTGTTATCTGGTTCTTTTCTTAGCCCTGATGAAGGCCTGAACTTCAGGTCGAAACATCAGCAAATGTCAAAATAAATATTATCATTAATTTTTGCCTTCTTATTTCACTGATTACCCCTAACTATTCTTCTCTTCTTTGTTCACGACAGTCAACCATTTACCCACAATTACAATATCCCTATTTTTATTGAATAATTTGTTGTTTTAAATAAGAACACTGAGTAATTCTATGAATAAATCAGAACTATAGGTTATTCTGGGAATCATCAATCACTAAAAATTTATTGAATAAATTATTTGAATGAAAATTCATCCAATAATCCAATAAATTCTATCCGCCCAACTGTGCGATGAAACCAAAAATCTGTTATGAAATGAGCGTCAACTAAAGCTATAGGTACTATATAGACCTATAATTGCTATTCTTATTACACTTGTACAAAACTTCCGTAAGATAAGAGGAAATCAATGTTATGTTCTGTTATTAAACAAAATTAGAATGTTTTGATGTGAATTAGACGTTTTACTAAAATATATTGGAGAATAATACATTATTGTACCATCTGCCATCATTCAACGAGAACTTCATTAATGTTTAAGTTATTGGCAGCGTTAAAATAAAAAAAAAAATCGATAGGTAATAATTTACTTACGACAGTGCCTTGGCGACTTCTCTGTGGGCAAAAGGGTCGTAATCTTCATCTGTAGTAGGAGCAGCCATTCTAAAAGCAAATCCCTTCTGTACGAAGGCCTATGAAGTGCTCGAATGGTTTGTTTCTCTTTCGTAGTAATAACCTAAAGTGTTTTAATATTTTTAAGTACTTTTTTTATACCATATGTTGTACAATCAGTGAAAAGAGTTTCCATAATTATTGTAGACCTAAAATAATTTGAATTCATCCGCATTATAAATTGTGTGGTCTGAAAATAATGCAGGTTTATAATTCTAAAATAAAACAAATCAAACAGTTGATACGAAACAACTTTTAATAATTAAAATACGAACCATTACTCTCAATACATTTCGGCCAACGTATTGGTAACTTTTTTATTCCCTCATAATAGAATGTTGAATCCAGAAAAGGCATTTTCCAACAAATTTTTTTCAATAAAACTTTCAACTTTTAAATTTATATCTTTCAAAGCATTAGTTTAAGAATCCTGGCTGAAAAAGAAGTGCTTCACAATCTTTATACTAAAGATTTTGTGGCTGTTATTAAATGCTTGAGGAACCCAAATTTGTCATATTTTCAATTGCGGCGATGTGGCCAGCGAAAGTCGATTTCCTAACTGAAAGTTTCTCGACAAGTTCTCGAATAGGTGTTCTGGGATCCGGTTCAACGAAAGATCGCATAGCATCGTTATCAACAGGAGAAGGTTTTCGTCAAACTATAGTTGAACAGTGCACCAACTCACACTGCTATTTTCATAGAGTTTAGTAATGTTTCTGGTCCTTCGGGTTCTGTTCTAACGATGTTTCAACTCGAAAAACAAAATCATGCGAAAATCAGGCTTTCACATCTTACAAGAGGAGACTACAGTTAGTGAATCACGGATTTCAACCATTTTTTTTTTTTTTTGTGAATCTACATCGAAAAATTTTGAACACATGGTCCGGTGTTTGTAATAGTACAAAACCGACTTCCGTAACCACATTAGAACCAAAGATATAAAATTAAAATTATTGAGCAGTTTTTTTAGTTCCTAGTTAAGAAAAGGAATGAAATGTAAAAGTTATCAATGTGGGTTAGAATCTGCTCTTTCCGCATCAACTTTCAGCTTTCCAGCGATTGTACTAAAGTATAATTCGGAGGAAATCTTGAGAAATTATGAATGCTTTAGTTATCGATCGGAAAAAGGATTTTCAAAATGGCATGCCTCTCCTTCAGCTAGCTTTTACGAATCAGGATACTGTTTCTTATCTGACTCCGACATCTAGTACTTGAACAATGTTGCTCGAAATGAAGATCGGGAATCACTTTCCTAAACACGGTTCCGCAAAACTTCAAATGGTTCCGCAAGTGTGATGTGAATGGTTTGCGCAAAGTGAGACGAATGTTGGTTGTTTATATGTTTATACGTTACTGTTTATACGTTTTATTATAATTAAACAACAAATTATTATTATAATAAAATAGATACTTGTCAGTACTGTAACATTTTATTAATAATTATCATATATATTTTAATATCAGGATTTGTAATCGATAATTATTTTTTCCACAAAATCATATAATAAATATTAGAAGAAGAACAAGACCAAGAAAAAGTCTTTTTATTTATCAAAATTACATAATATTAATTACAAAACAATAAAAAATTGTTTCATTACAAAGTTATATTTCAAAGCGTAAAGTCCTAGGGTCATCAACGCCTGTGGGCCAGTTGATGTTTGTTGTCTATTGAGTTCAGAAACTCCTTCAAAGAGAGATAAAAGAATAAATGATCAAAAAACTAATCTATATAAATAAAATAAAGGTTTTATCTGTACATTGAATAGAATCAACCCGTTTTATGATATCTTTCCTTTTCATACATTGCAGACAAATCTACTTTTAAAGAATTTTTTGTCTGATTGTATGTCCGAACGAAATTTCGTTAGGGGTAATCTCAGCAATGGCTTATTGTAGATTCTTGAAATTTTGAAATTATATTAAGATTTCCTTGACTTCAAACATTGGCTTTAAATGAAAACAAAATATTGACTAGAACAAAAGTTATGAATTCTTGAGTAATTTGTCTAAAGATCTCGGTTAATGTTGATAATAAATGTTAATAATAAACATATGTTTATAGGTTTAAGAACATCAATATAAATAAAACAAAGGTTTTTTCTGTACATTGAATAGAATCAAACCGTTTCATGATATCTTTCCGTTTCATACATTACAGACACCAAATCCACTTAAAAAAAAATGTTTGTCTGTCTGAATGTCCGCATTCTTCAACGAGATTTTGTCAGGGGTAAGCTCGGCAATGGCAGATTTTGAAATTTTGATATTGTATTTAGGTTTGATATGACTTAAAATATAGTCTTTAAATGTAAACAGAATATTCAGTAGAACTAAAGTTATGAAATCTTGAGTAATTTGTCTAGAGATCCCAGTGGGGCAGTTACTTACTTCAATTCCCATCCCAACCTACTCTATCGTGAGCCACATTTAAAAAGTTGTACAACTCAACTGATGGTAAAAATTATCACAACTCAACAGGAAAAATCCAGAATACCGAACATCTGCAACGCGTTGTGGTACAAAACGGTAAAACTTGAGGGCAAAACACCTTCATTTTTCAACTTTTTCCAATCTTCCCGTTCAAGTTGTAATTTGGTTCAACTTCCCAAGCCTAACAAATGTTGCCGTATACATTTTTAGGATTAACCAAACGGATTAGCCGGAAATCAGAGGAAAAATCCCTAAAATTACATTCCGCTCGCCACAATATTCAGATCAAGTTCTAATTTTACACGGATGTAGGTGACTGAATGTCCAATATTATTTTGTATATCTTGCCAGCGATAAACTCATCAAAGTTTAAAAAAGGGGAGAGACCACAACTCTTTTTGATTATATAATCGACTCCACAATCTCCTTGCTTCATCATAAATGAAAATTAAACACTTAACAACTTTTAATGGATCGGTGGTGGTCGGTTTAGTTGTGTGGTACCTAAACAAATAGCCGAATAACAAAGTTTTTGTTATGACTATTGCGAAACCTTGACTTCCATAAGCCCCGCCATAAAAATTTCAAAACAATCTCCCTTCCCCCTCCAGACCCAATTTTATGAAATCAAATTTGGATTCTTCCCCCTTCCACCTCCCATAATACAAAATACATCTCAAAAAAAGATTCTCAAATTTTAACTATGCACCTTTCAACGACGGGTTTTTATAAAAATATATAAAAACATATGAAAATAAAATTAATAAAGATAAAAATACAATAAAATAAAAATTATATTCATTTCTATATTTTATCTAGTAGTCTATGGATTTTAAGAAAGTTTACGACTGTTTTAATGTCTGTTACTTTTTTTTTTTAATACTACTGATATATTCGGTCCAAGAGATAATCTGTTTAAGCTCGATGCATAATAAGGGCATACCTGAAAAGTATGACTGATAATGACATTTTGACATTTTGGTGGTGGCTGTTTAATAATGAGATGTAAATGAGTTGGATTCGTGTGTCCTATTCCGAACCTAGTCACGGCAACCTCCACTCTGCGGTTAGTGACTTTGGTTTGTTGTGGTCCAAGGCTTCACTGATTTTTTAATAACTTTTAATTTATTAAGTGGGCCTTCGTTGCACATAGGTTGCCAACTATTCGATATTTCGTTGTTGAGAGAAAACCTCATTTCAGGAGAGGTCAGGATAGCAGTGCCTCGGCCTGGGAACGCGAGTGCTTGTTTGGCTGCCGTATCTGCATACTCATTGCCAATTATTCCCACGTGACTGAGAACCCATATAAAGCTAACCGACTTTCCCAAATTTTCAAGAATCTGAAGATATTTGTATATTTTAAGAATAACTGGATGTTTCGAATACATGTCATTTAAACCTTTTAATGAAATCAAGGAGCCGTATATTAACACTATTGTGTTTGGAGTTATTGACATACAGAAGTGGAAGCCTGAGACTATTGCATGAAGTTCCGCTGTATATATGCTGCTTAATTTATGGAGTTTTATTTTATGTGTCGAGTTATGGATACAAAGTGGCTGTAGCATCATCAATTTTCGAACCGTCAGTATAAATTAAAAATCTGGTGCGCGTAACACACAACTTTCACTTTCCTCTCAACTTTGAATATACATTATTTTCTGGCCATGTTGGGCTATTATAAAATGTTTGAATTGCATTTTGAACCCAGGTAAATCTAAAAAATTACAGCTAACAAATCATACATACCATTAAAATAACAAAAGTCTTGTTTATAATATCCCTGGTTGATTATGTTTTGTACGATCCGTTGATTATGGATTGCACGATGCGTTGGTTATGGATTGTACGACTATTAGTTATTAAACTGTTATTTACCTTTGCAAAGTTTACTAAAACGGTTTAAGAGATTTGCACTGTCTGTCATAGACAGGTCAAAAGTTGTCACACTAATTTAAGTTGGAATATCACAACAAAAAATTTCATCAAACTATTCACTAATTTAATTTTCTAAAAGTTGAATTGATGATCTTTTGTAATAAACGGACGATAGATACCTAAATATTTAAATATAATATTTCAGATCTGGAGTTATTAAACTACAGTAAATATAGTTTAGGTTACAAACGTATCTATGAAATATTCTTAGATTTCACTTCTTCTTTCACACAAGTACAATGAAATAGTAATGGATACTGTTGGATTATCACAAAGGGAAGATTCATCAAATTATTCACTAATTTAATTTTCTAAGAAGATAGATAACAATGTCTCGAAATAAACAGACGTTGATACCTAATTATTTAAATATGATATCGGATTTAAATATATTTAAGGTTATAAACATATGCTTTATACATCCATGAAATGATTATATATTTTACTTCTTCTTTCACACAAGTACAATGAAATAGTTTTTTAAACAATGTCATTGCCTTGATTAGATGGATTTTAAATACTTTTTTCAAACTTAAAAATACTTTAAAAGTTTACATTTAGTAAGTAAATTTAATTTAATTTCCTTGAAAACATGTGATTTACGTTAAATAATATCAGTTTTAAAAATATAATAATCGAAGTATTATTTATAATTTGTTTGCCACTCAAGAAAGCAACTTTCTACATTGGATATTGTTTTTTCTGAAATTTTCCGCCTCCTAACGATATATTATACGTATATCTTATGACAAGTATTTCTGGAGATTCATTTTCGACCTGGATAAGCATTTTTATTTATTTTTTTCGTAACTCTGAATAATGTGAAATGATTAACTTTTTAAAATCAACCATATTAATGGTACTTTAGAAGAAGACGCATATGAACATTGGTCATTTAAGCCCTGCAAAATGACATCGACGGGGATAAAACCTAATTGATATTAAAGACCACTTAATTATACAATGATACACCGAGTTTAATCAAAACCGTTAGAGCCATTTTTGAGAAAATTGTGAAAATGTTTTTCAGCGAAAAAGTTGCTAGGACATCTAAATCGTATACCTATCATAAATATGTAATATCAGTTTTGTACGACTTTTCGTTTTTGATCTAGACTGCTAACATACGCAGACGTAAGTGAAAGTAAAAATAGATCAGGAATATTTTTTAGGAACCGGGAGAATTCGGTTTTGTACTCGGAAGTTGAAGTATTATTTTTGAAGAATGTACAGAGACAGAGCATCGTTTTTGGGTGTTTGTGGATCCAAGGAGGGTTATGATTTTCTGTTTCGTGTACAGGTAAGTTCTTTAGGAATTGAGCTGCTGAATAAATTCTTTCTGACAGTGGGAGTGTGGAGTTGGTTTTATTTCTAAACGCATTAGAGAATTTTGGTTTAAAGATATAGTTATGGGTAATATTTATATTTTGGATAAGTAGCCTTGAAACATAATTAACAGCTAGTTTTTTCCTTCTAAATAAAAGAGGGGATTTTCCGGCCTAAGAACAGAGACTAAGGATGGGGGCTTGTTCGAATCGCGCCAGTCGCGATTCTAATGCCT